TCCTCCCCGTCCGGAACACGGGCAACTTCCTCCTGTGCAGGTGGGTATAACACACTCGGAGGTGTGTGAATGTAGCTTATTTGGAGGTGGGTAACATACACACGGGTACCGAGAAGGAGCGCGGCTACGCCAAGGCCGTCCTCCCCGTCCGGAACACGGGCAACTTCCTCCTGTGCAGGTGGTGGGTTGGGTGGCGCGGCGGACTACTAGTCTACGGCGCCCGCGCGAAGCGCCAGAGGTGACCCCCTGACCTTTTGTGCCGCATGAGGGGGATGGGCGCGACTCTTGGGTGACGGCGGGTCTGGCCGCCCTGGGACGGGGGCGACGGCGACGGGAAATTGGAAAGGCTGCTGCTGGTAGACTTCGTGGAGCCGGGCCTGGGCGGCCCGAAGCCTGGCGCAGCTGTGGGCCGGAGAGGCGCATACTGGCAGAGAGCTCCAATTTCCGTCGGCGAAGGACGTACAACGCGCGCGCAAGACTGCGGCGACGGGGGGCGGGGTGGGCGGCCAGGATGTGTGCGGGCCGAGCGGCTGTGCGGCACCAAGCGGCTCTGAATTAGGCATTTCCGCGATATTCGCCGCCCGAGTCTCATGCTCATTTTTTCCCTTTTATATGCTAATCAAAGAAGTGTTACAGCTCAGGGCCATGAGTATACTCTCATGTCAGGGCTATCGCGAACCTGCGCACCATATGCTGCTGGGATTCCATGGGGAAATGTACGGCCATGAAAATTAAGAGAAATTTGCTTATGCCCGGATGTTGGAGAAAAATTCGGACAGGGTAGCGTTTACTTTTCGAGCTTATCGCCGACGCGATGGATTTACGCCCCCGTGTTTGTTTCTGCAGCCTTTCTTTGCCCGGCGCCCCGATCCTCAACCCTTTCCCGTGGGACGGCCTTAATAAATCTGTAATAATAAATCTGCCGAGACGACAAGAGTGGTGGTGGGTATGGAGTGACGCGGTGGTGTGGTGTCGCAAGGTACCCGCCGGGGCGGTTTGAGGCGGTGCGAGCCGGAGTCGACTCGGGGGAAGTGCGTGCGCACGGTGTCCGTCAGAAAGCGTTTGTGTTTACTTAAATGGAGTGGCGGGGTTTCCGAGCCGACAGCCATAACCCAACCACCCGACAACCCGACCATCGTTTTGAGCGCATAACGAAAGTATACGCCGATATACGTATCTCCTGAACGGTCCAAGAAACCAGAACAAACTGTGGGCCTCGTTATGTCAAAGCTTTAATTCTCGTCTCCTTGCGGCCGAAGGTGTCTTTGGTCAGAACAAGTGACGTGCGCTCCCTTTCAT